CAGAGATAAAAAGAGATGGCAGATAGAAATATGAGAACACGTTCAACATTAAGCATTCAGGAAATGTGAATTAACACTACCAGAAGCTAGCACTACACACACATTGAGACAGCTAAAATAAATACCAAATCCTGGTGAGGATGCAAAGGAACTGGATCTCTCAGATACTGCTAGAGGAAATGTAAAATGGTACAGACACTCAAGAAAAATGTTTGGCAATTACTTACAAAACTAAACAGAACTATTTACAAAAGACTACATATTGTATGATTCCATTTGTACATGGGATTTTGTTCTGTGCAGAGTAACCAAATACATACCGACAAAGTAGATTAGTGGTTGCCTAGGGCTAAGTGTGGATGGGGAGATAGGGATGCACGCTAATAAGGTATGGCAAAAAAAAAAAAGAGCAAAACTCTTGGGAGTTTTGAAAATGTTCTAAAATGTGATTATAGTGATGGTTGCACAACTCTGAATATACTAAAAGTCACTGACTTATACACTTTATTTTTTTATCTTTTTTTTTTTGACACAGGTTCTCATTCTGTTACTCAGGCTGGAGTACAGTGGTATGATCTTGACTCACTGTATCCTATGTCTCCGGACTTAAGCGATCCTCCCACCTCAGCCTCCCATGTAGCTGGGTCTACAGGCACATGCCATCACACTCAGCTAATTTTTAAAAAACATTTTTTAGAGACAAGGTCTCACTGTATTGCCCAGGCTGGCCTCAAACTCCTAGGCCCAAGTGATCCTCCTGCCCCAACCTCCCACATTCCACCTGAATTATACACTTTAAATAGATGAATTGTATGGTATATGAATTAGATCTCAATAAGGATGTTCTAAAATTTGCACATTTCACTTCAATAGGCATTTCAAAAACAAACTACATGATTGCAAAGAGAACCCTGACTTCTCTGGCCACAGTAAACCGCATAGTACAGGGATTCAGTTCTTCATTTGATAAAACTCTCTTAATTTATCATCATGAAATAAATTTTTTGATGTCCTCAAAATAAACACACTCTAACCATAAAATCCAACATCATACTCTTGAGCATTTATCCAGAGAAATGAAAATGAATATTCCTATACATTATACAGGAATGTTCACAACAGCTCTATTTGTAATTGCTTAAAATTGGAAACAGCCCAAATGTTTTAGGGAGTGAATGGTTAAGTAAAGTGTGGCCATACTATGGATTACTACTCAGCAATAAAAAAAAATGAATTATTGATACACAGAACATCCTGGGTAAATTTTAAACCATGCTGAGTGAAAAATGACAATCTCAAGTTGTGTAATGTATGACTCCATTTATCTAAAATTCTTGAAGTGACAAAATTATTGAAATGGAGAACAGATTCATGCTCTCCAGGGGTTAGGAATGGAGGGTGAGGTGGGAGAGGATGGGAATGACTTTAAAAAGGTAGTACAACTCATCTCTGTGGTGCTGGTATATTCTGTCTCTTATCCAAGGAAGTGTTTTCATGAATCTACAGTGATAGCATTATATAGAACTATACACATGTGCATACATGTGCAAATAAATGTGTGTAAAACTGTTGAACTAAATGAGCTCTGTGGATTGTACTGTTCATTTCCTGGTTTGACATTGTACTGTAGTTATATAAGTTGTTACCATTGTGGAAAAATAGGTAGAAGGATACATGGGATGGACCTCCATTATTTTTGCAACTTCCTGTGAATCTGTGATTATTTCAGAGTAGAAAGCTTAAGAATGAGAATTGGTGTAGAAAGTAGAAATATGTATGTCCAAATTATCAGATTCCTTTCCAAAAGATTATGCCAATTTAAATTGTTATCTAAATTAGATAATATACCAATATCACTACATTCTCATCAGCATTAAGTATGTCCATTATTTCGATGTATTTGTTTTGTCTGTGAATTTTTACATTTTTATTTTTTAGAATATGTATATTTTTAAAAAATGTTTCATTTTAAATTTTAGATTCAGGGCATACATGTGCAGGTTTTTCACATGGGTATATTGGGTGATGCTGGAGTTTGGGTTTCTAGTGAACCCATCACCCAGTATTGAACATAGTATCTGATAGGTAGTTTTTTCAATCCTTCCCCTACTCTTTCCTGCTCCTCTTTTGGAGTCCCTGGTATCTATTATTTCTGTCTTTATGTCCACCTGTACCCATTGTTTAGCTCCCATCTACAAGTGAGAGCATGTGGTATTTGGTTTTCTGTTTCTCTTTTATTTCACGAAGGATAATAGCCTCTAGCTGCATCCATGTTGCTGCAAAGGACATGATTTCACTCTTTTTTATGGCTGTGTACTAATCCATGGTGTATATGTACCACATTTTCTTTATCCAGCCCATCTTTGATAGGACACTTATGTTGATTCCATGGCTTTACTATTGTGAATAGTCCTGCAATAAACAGACTAGTACAGGGGTCTTTTTGTTTTCCATAGGATTAACTAACTTACATTCATACCAGCAGTGTATAAGCATTCCCTTTTCTCATATCCTTGCCCACATCTGTTATTTTTTGACTTTTTTTTTTTTTTTTGAGACAGAGTCTTGCTCTGTCGCCCAGGCTAGAGAGCAATGGCACAGTATCAGCTCACTGCAAGCTCCACCTCCCGGGTTCACGCCATTCTTTTGCCTCAGCCTCCCGAGTAGCTGGGACTACAGGCGCCCGCCACCAACCTGACTAATTTTTTTGTATTTTTAGTAGAGACGGATTTCACCGTGTTAGCTAGGATGGTTTCGATCTCCTGATCTCGTGATCTGCCCGCCTGGGCCTCCCAAAGTGCTGGGATTACAGGCCTGAGCCATCGTGCCCGGCCTATTTATTGACTTTTTAATAATAGCCATTCCGACTGGTGTGAGATGGCATCTCATTGTGATTTTAATTTGCACTTCTCTGATAATTAGTGATGCTGAGCATTTTTTCATGTTTCTTAGTACTTGTGTGCCTTATTTTGATCGTATACTCTGCCCACTTTTTAATGAGATTCTTTTTTTCTTGATTTAATTTTCTTATAGATTCTGTATATTAGTCTTTTGTTGGATGCATAGTTTGCAAATATTTTTTCTGATTCTGTAGGTTGTCTATTTACTTTGTCGATTGTTGTTTTTGCTGTGCAGAGCTTTATGATTGGTCAATTTTTTATTTTGTTGCAATTACTTTTGAGGTCTCAGTCATAAATTATTTGCCTAAGCCAATGTCCAAAAGAGTTTTTCTTATATTTTCTCCTAGAGTTTTTATAGTTTGAGGTATTACATTTCAGTCTTTAATACGTCTTGAGTTAATTTTTGTATCTGGTAAGAGGTAGGCGTCCAGTTTTACTCTTCTGCAAATGGCTAGCTAGTTTTCTCAGCACCATTTATTGGATAGAATATCCTTTCCCCATTATTTATTTTTGTTGACTTGGTCGAAGACCAGTTGATTGTATGTGTGTGGCTTTATTTCTGGGTTTTCTATTGTATTCCATTATGTATCTTTTTTTTTTTTTTTAACCTGTACCATGCTGTTTTGGTTATTATAACCTTGTAGTATAGTTTGAAGTCAAGTAGTGGGATGCTTCTGGCTTTCTTCTTTTTGCTTAGAATTGCTTTGGCTATTCATTCTCTTTGGTTCCATATGAATTTTAGAATTTTTTTTTAATTCTGTGAAAAATGATGTTTGTAATTTGTTAGGAATTGTATCAGATCTGTAGATTGCTTTGGGCAGTATGATCTACTCTTATGTTGACCATCTTTTTCTCATACTGAGGATATATAAGCTAGCCAAAATACGATACATGATTTATATGCCATAATTTGTTTGATGTATATATAAATAAAACTATTCAGAAGAAATTGGCTTTATATGTTTTAAGGAGACATAAGACATCAATCAGTACATGTAAGGTATATAATGGTTTGGTCCAGAAAGGCAGGACAACTGAAAGTGAAGGGCTTCCTGGTCATAGGTAGAGTCAAAATTTTTTTTGATTGGCAGTTGGTTGAAAGAGTTAAGTTATTATCTTGGAATCAATGGAAAGGAGTGTCTGGATTAAGATAAGGGGTTCTGGAGACCAAGGTTCTTATTATTCTGTAGATGAAGCCTGCAGGCAGCAGGCTTCAGCGAGAAGCGATGCTAAATGCCTCTATCAGACTGAAAAAGGTGCCAGACTCTTAATCTCTCCTGGGTCCGGAGAAGACCTGGAAAGAGAAGGGGCTTCTCTATAATATGTAGATTTTCTCCACAGGAGACAACTTCTCAGGGCCATTTCAAAATATGTCAAAAGGTCGGGTACGGTGGCTCACACCTATAATCCCAGCACTTTGGGAGGCTGAGGCATGCAGATCACGAGGTCAGCAGATCAAGACCATGCTGGCTAACATGGTGAAATCCCATCTCTACTAAAAATACAAAAAAATAGCCGGACGTGGTGGCGGGCGCCTGTAGTTCCAGCTACTGGGGAGGCTGAGGCAGGAGAATGGCGTGAACCCGGGAGGCGGAGCTTACAGTGAGCCAAGATTGGGCCACTGCACTCCAGCCTGGGCGACAGAGCGAGACTCTGTCTCAAAAAAAAAAAAAAATCAGAAAATATATTTGGGGATATTGGGGATAAAATACTTCAACTTCTTTTGGGGCCTGTTATCTGTTGTGTGTGCTATACTAGAGTCAGATTGGAATTTGATATCTTATTGTTACAAAGAGTCTGTTTTGTCACTCTTTAGATCTCTGTTTTAATGTTAATACTGGTCAGTTGTGTCTGAATTCCAAAGGAAGGAGAGTATAATGAGATATGTCCTTCCACCGTGGCCTGGTTTTTCAGGTTTACTTGGCCTCAGAAGAGGGATTTATTCAGTTGGCTGGGGGGCTTAGAATTTCATTTGTGGTTTACTTGTATAAAATTCACTTCAGTTTGGATCCTTGCTGTTAAACAAAATTTTTAAAAAATCATTTCTGGATGGGAAGGGGAAACAAAATCTGCACAGAACATTTATTTCTTGATCTGCAGGTTGTAAACAACTTGTGAAATGAGTGATTTGGAAGATGACGAGACACCCCAGCTTTCTGCCCACGCCTTAGCAGCTCTCCAGGAATTTTATGCTGAGCAAAAACAACAAATTGACCTAGGCGAGGATGATAAATATAACATTGGAATAATAGAAGAGAATTGGGTAAGTAAATGGCATTTCGCAGCCATCAGGAAGTATTGATGTGAAACCTACTCTGTGCATTAGTCCAGTGTTTTTCTCACCTAAAACCGGAATCTCTGTCACCTGTCATTTGGGATCTGAACCTCTCTATGGGAAGACAGAAAGCAGTTAGTGAACATTTTAGAACAGTGTAACAGCTTTCTTGAACAGCTGTTCTTGATTCTGACTATCAGGCTGGTTGGTGATCAGAAGATGGGGTTTTTCAGATAAGGAGATAATGATACAGGATTTTTCTGCTTGGTCACTTTGCAAGGTGGGGACCCTCAGCTGGCAATACCCCACCCAGGCCTTGCTTGGCCATGCTGGTGTGCCCCAGCTTGGCTGTGTTATAGCTCGTACCCACATTCAGCGGTTCCGAAGCTCTTGTACTACGTCCAAGAAGAATGAGGATATGAGGGACACTGGAGAGTGAAGAGGGTGGGGAAGAATTTTAATGAGTGATGAAAACTGCTTTCAGCAGAGATGGGACGCAGGGTTGGGGATGGTTATGTCGTGTGGTTGGGTCTGGGGCCTTTATGGACTCAGAATGGGGACTGTGTGCTGATTGGTTTGTGAGTATGCAAAAAAGGTGAAGGTGAAGGCACCACTCAAAGGTAGGCACAACAGTGTAGAAAAAACAAGTAGGAAAGGGTAAGTATATGTAAAATAGGTAAAGGGTGGAGAACAATCAGAAGAAAGTGTGCAAACGGGAAGACAAGTTCTCAGTCTGGTCCAAGGATTTAACTTGTAGCTTGGCTTTCAGGCTTTAAACTGTCTTTGTCTTGGAGGTAGGGTTTACTGGGGACCCACCCCATCTGCCTAGGCATTTGTCTGCCTCTGTCAATAATACCTTATTATGTCCAACACAAACTTCTTCCAACACATTTTTGGATACAGATATACCTACTGGTTTTTATGGACCCCAGAAATCCTGGTGGAGAGAGAAAATATTATCATTGCTGGAAACTGGGGAATTAAACATGTATTGAAAAATTGATGAGAAGGAAATTTAAAGAAGATATGAACAGTTTCTGGTGTATAATATATATTTCAATTATATTTTTATCATCTGAATTACAATAGGGATTAGAAAAAAATGAGTTGAAGGAAACTCCTAACATGACCAGGAACCTATAATTTTTTTTTTTTTAAGGAAATAGTTGAGAAACAGACAAGGCTTGAAGTTTGTCTGTGACTACCCCTTGATAATAGGTATATCTTCAACACTTTGCAACTGGAAGGAAGCTTCTGTATGCTTATCATTTTTTTATAGTCTTTTACATTTTTGTGTCCTGTTTGGATCTCTAAGTTAAATAAACTTTTCCTATTTACCCTGTTTGAAACTGTGATAAACATGTTTCTTTCCATTTATTCTACATGTTCCACTTATTCTAAAACCTCTTTCTCACTGCTTCTCTTCTTTATGTCTGTTTACCTTCTAGCTTGATGCTTCTATAAATAACAAATGTAAGAAATTTGAAGTACTGCATTATTCTTGAGGTGGTCTTTTTCTTTTTTCCTTCTTCTTAATTTTTAAAATAGTATGTACTTTTTTTCTAGTTATGAAAACTAGTGCTAATCCCACTGCTTAGAATTAACACCTTTTCTAATTTTGAAACTTTGGTTTGATTATAAAGTTGAGGAAATGTAGAAAGCATAAAAATTGACAGACAAAATTTAACCATGATGTCTGACTAGAGGTATTGGGTACTTGCCTCCTTCACAAATAAGAACCAAAATAGTGAGCCAATAATCTCACTTCAAATAGATTACCTTAGAGAGAATGCTGGAATTCAACAGGGAAGTGACAGGAAACACCTAAGGTGAGGAAGGAGAGGAAGCGAGGCAGCCTGCTTGACAGGGATCAATTAGGAGCCTAGAGCAGCTCCCCAGTGTGGGGAAAGGCTAAGTGAGTGACTTCTAGCAGTTTATATTCCCACCATGGATTCTGCAGTTCTAGCCACAGAAGAGCCCTTTTGACCCATACAGGCCCTGAGACAAACATAGGGAACTGCCTGGAGACCACGTGATAGCATTGCTCCAGTAAGGGAGCACATGCCAAGTCCCACACAAGGCACCATTTTGAGAGCCCAGCTCCCACAAGACTGCATCCTGCCATGACACCCAACAGCCCCTGCATCTCCACATCTCTGGAGCCCCATTGACTTCCCCCAGACTCAGCTGGGGCTGCTGTGGTCTGCTGCCACCAGGCCTGAAGTATGAGCCATTGGCAGCAAGCAACCCCACTGCCTCTAGTAGCAGGACCACTGCACAATTAAAAGTACCCTTAGGAAAGGCTACCCTGCTTATAGCCATGACTAGGGCCAAAGTGTGCACTTCCCAACCTCCTGTTCATGGCTGCTGCCACTAAAAGCCACGCCACCCTCCCTAAGAACAGCACAGCTACTGCTGTTCCCACCAGGAATCCTGCGTAAAGGCCTGCTTAGCCTGGTTCCATCTTCCCCTACATGACGTAAGGGACACCATAAGTGGCCAATTTTTTTTTTAATTTTCTTTTTTTCTGAGGCGGAGTACCACTCTGTCGCCCAGGCTGGAGTGCAGTGGTGCAATCTCGGCTCACTGCAACCTCTGCCTCCCGGGTTCAAGTAATTACTATGCCTACAGGCAAGAGCCACTACACCTGGCTAATTTTTTTGTATTTTTGGTAGAGACAGGGTTTTACCACATTGGCCAGGCTGTTCTTGAAATGATCTGCCTGCCTTGGCCTCCCAAAGTGCTGGGATTACAGGCAGGAGCTACCGCGCCTGGCTTTTTAAATATTTTCAGTGTCCCAGAAGGCAAAGAGAAGACAAAAGGGATAGAAAACTTATTTCGGCCGGGCGCGGTGGCTCACGCCTGTAATCCCAGCGCTTTGGGAGGCCGAGGCGGGCGGATCACAAGGTCAGGAGATCGAGACCACAGTGAAACCCCATCTCTACTGAAAATACAAAAAATTAGCCGGGCGCGGTGGCGGGTGCCTGTAGCCCCAGCTACTCAGGAGGCTGAGGCAGGAGAATGGCGTGAACCCGAGAAGCGGAGCTTGCAGTGAGCCGAGATCGCGCCACTGCACTCCAGCCTGGGCGACAGAGCGAGACTCCGTCTCAAAAAAAAAAAAAAAAGAAAACTTATTTCATGGAATAATAGCTGAAAACTTCCCAAGTCTAGCAGGAGATTTACACATCCAGATATAGGAAGCTTAGAGATTCCCAAACAGATTAAATTCAAAAAAGTCGTCTTTGTGGCACATTATGGTCAAACTGTCAGAAATCAAAAGTCAAAGAGAGAATTCTAAAAATAGCAAGACAAAAGTGACTAGTCACTTATAAGGGAAACCTCATCAGACTAACAGCATATTCTCAGCAGAAATCTTACATTCCAGGAGAGAATGGGGTGATATATTCAAAGTATTGAAAGAAAAAAAAAAACTGTCAGCAAAAGATTCTATACCCAGCAAAATTATTCTTCATAAATGAAAGAGAAATCAAGACTCCTTTGAGACAAGTAAAAGCTGAGGAAATTCATCACTTCTAGACCAGCCCTACAAGAAATACTTAAAGGAGTCCTACGCATCCTTTAGCATAAGCAAAAGGATGAAATCTACCATCATGGGAATACACTAACGTATAAAATCCACTGCTAAAGCAAATATAGAAAACCAGCAAACCTTAATGATAAACAATAAAAGAGAAAGAAAGAAACAAAGAATATACAAGACAACCAGAAATAAATTAATAAAATGATAGGAATAAGCCCTCACATATCAACAACCTTGAATGTAAATGGATTACACTTTCCTCTTAGAAGATAGAGACTGCCTGAACAGATTTAAAGAAAAAAAACTTGATCCACCTCTATGCTGCCTACAAGAAACTCATCTCACCTGTAAAGACATACAGACTGAAAGTAAAGGGATGGAAAAAAAGATATTCCATGCACAAGGAAACCAAAAAACCAAAAACAAGCAGGACTAGCTGTGCTTATATCAGATAAAGCAGATTTTAAGTCAGAAACAGTACAAAGAAACAAGGTTGTTATATAATTATAAAGCGATCAATTCAGCTACACAATGATTCTAAACATATATGGACCCAACACTGGAGCGCCTGATATATAAAGCAGATCTTATTACATCTAAAAGGAGAGATAGACACAAATACAGTAATAGCTGGATACTCCAACATTAGATAGATCACCTACATAGAAAATTTAGACCAATGGACTTAAGAGACGTTTGCAGAACATAGCATCCAGCAGCTAAAGAATATGCATTCTCATCATCACATGGAACATTCTCCAGTTCCATGTGGTTATGTTTGGACAGAAAACAAGTCTCAAGTATTTTTGAAAAATTGAAATGTCAGATATCTTCTCAGGTCATAACAGAATAAAACTAGAAATCAATAACAGGAGAAACTTTGGAAACTAAAAATACAGGGAATTTAAATATGCTCCTGAATGATCATTAGGTCAGGGATGAAATTAAAGAGGAAGTCAAAAAATGTCTTGAAACAAGAAACAATGGAAAATCAAAGCACAACATGCCAAAATCTATGGAATACAACAAAAATAGTGCTAAGAGTGAAGTTTATAGCAATGTAAGTCTACATCTAGAAAGTAGGAAGGTTTCAAATAAATAATCTAACAGTGCACCTTAAGAAACTAGAAAAGCAAGAACCAGTCCCAAAATGAGTAGAAGGAAAGAAATAATAAAGAGCAGACAGAACTAAACAAAATGCAGAATAAAAAAAAAAAATCAATGGATCAATGAAAAGTTGGCTTTTTGAAAACATAGGCAAAACTAAAACTACTTGCTAGACTAACCAAGAAAAAAGACAAAAGACAAAAATAAATAAAATCAGAAATAAAGGAGACATTACAACTGAAGTCCAGGACCAGATGACTTTACCGCTGAATTCTACCAAACTTAAAAAGAATAGTCAATACCAATTATCTTTAAATTATTCCAGAAGTTTGAAGTGGAG